TTGAGATAGAGTCTCTCTCTGTCGCTTGGGCTAGAGTGCCCTGGCGTTAGCCTAGCTCACAGCAACCTCAAACTCTTGGGTTTAAGCCATCCTCCTGCTTCAGCCTCCTGAGTAGCTGGGACTGCAGATGCACTACCACGCCCAGCTAATTTTTTCTATTTTTAATAGAGGTGGGATCTGACTTTTACTCAGGCTCGTCTCGAACTCCTGAGCTCAAGCAGTCCTTCTGCCTCAGCTTCCCAGAGTGCTAGGATTACAGGCGTGAGCCACCACACCTGGCCAAGGATATCTTCAAGCACTTGAAAAATTGATCATCTTTATTATGTTAATTTCACTCAATTTTAGGAGTTTCATTTCCCCAGATTTAGTAAGTGTTCTTTTCACTTATCAATTATGGAGAGACAATTTCTATGACCTGAGATTTAGGATTGTAGTTTGACTATTAGAAATTAAGTAGCTAGGAATGGTGAAAAACAGTAAGGAGATAAAACTATATGCAAACAATCCCCCAACCCCCTCCCAAAAAAGGAGGAAGGAAGGTGGTGGGGAGGATAGTGAGTTAGATAATGCCATTCCTCTGCCTGCCACTAGGGGTCACTATCAGCCCAGGAAAGCTTGGTTGCTGTCTTTCTGGAGCGTTCCAAGAAAGAGGCAGAGTTATTTGAACCTGTGGGGTGAGTTAAATATGCAGTACCTGCATTTCACAGGATTTGGGGATTTATAACTTGCTTTTTAGAGCATTTAGATTTCCTGTGTTAGGTCTCCTCCAAATAAATTCAAAGCCTTTGATTGGAAAACTCACTGATTTGATCTTCAATTTCTCTTAACTTGCCACATCCGTTACCTCCACTTCACACAGGGAAATCCAGTTGGTATTGGGGGCAGGGTTTGGTTTTCACTGGCGGGATCTACAGCATTTGGTAGCACTACAGTGAGTAGATGGAGTAAAATGTTACCTTCCTGGTGTTAATAAAAGACATCTTTCTTGCCTTCTAATTACAATGTCTTAAAATCTTCCTTTAAAGAGTAATTCCTTTGGATTTTGCATTGTCCTTGCCTGGCTCTTGCTTTTAAAATGTTAATGTCTCATAGGAGAATTTTTGCATTAAGTCATTAATTAGCTGGGGAATTAGTTTATTTTGTCTTTGACTTCATCATCTGAGCTAGACAGAAAACTCTGGATTCTAAAGAGGAGACTTAGCACTAAAAGTAGGAAAATGAAGGGTAAAAAAGGGAGGTGGTGGGAGGGATGGGGAAAAAGTGGATAGATTCGACTCAGTTGTTCAACTCTCCCCATTGTTTTCTGACTGCAGGTTATGTCTGCCACAGGTGCTTGTTAAGTACTTGTTGAATGGATGAATGATTGAATGAACAAGGCCATGGACTTAGACATCACAGGGACAGAATTCAAGAGCACAGTTTCTGACAGGGCAGAGAGGAAGAGCTGAATGGGTGCTGTGCTTGGTTTAACTTGCTCACAAGCTCCCTCCCCCTCAACTCTAACTGCAAGAGCTCAGGGAATATTTGAACCCAAGTAGAGATGAGGGAACCAAAAATTCAGTGGCAGGTTCCCCTTTTCCATGGCTAGGAATAGGGGTGACAGATGGGCTTCATCTTACTTGCCTCTCTGGTAGTTGTTAAGAAGGATTCTGAAGCCCAGAGGGACTGTGTCATGATCACCTAGCACCATCTGCCCCGGTTCAGGATGGGGAGGCAGCGCCATGTATGTTGGAGTCTGGCCTTGGACTGATCTTGCCCCCTTCTCCCTCTGTCTCTAGGGACTCCGCTGGAGCCTGGCCTGGGTGCCAGGATGGCCACGCGTAAAGCCCTGCTGATGTGCCTAGGACTGCCTCTCTTCCTATTCCCAGGAGCCCAGGCCCAGAACCAGGCCCCACCTGGCTGCAGCCCAGACCTCAACCCCCTCTACTACAACCTGTGTGACCGCTCTGGGGCTTGGGGCATCATCTTGGAGGCAGTGGCTGGGGCGGGCATCGTCACCACGTTTGTGCTCACTATCATCCTCGTGGCCAGCCTCCCCTTTGTGCAGGACACCAAGAAGCGGAGCCTGCTGGGGACCCAGGTGTTCTTCCTGCTGGGGACCCTGGGCCTCTTCTGCCTCGTGTTTGCCTGCGTGGTGAAGCCCGACTTCTCCACCTGTGCCTCCCGGCGCTTCCTGTTTGGGGTCCTGTTCTCCATCTGCTTCTCCTGCCTGGTGGCCCACGTCTTTGCCCTCAACTTCTTGGCCCGGAAGAACCACGGGCCCCGGGGCTGGGTGGTCTTCACTGTGGCTCTGCTGCTGACCCTCGTGGAGGTCATCATCAACACGGAGTGGCTGATCCTCACCCTGGTCCGGGGAGGTGGCGAGGGCAGCCCTCCGGACAACAGCAGCGCCAGCTGGACGGCGGCCTCGCCCTGCGCCATTGCCAACATGGACTTCGTCATGGCGCTCATCTACGTCATGCTGCTGCTGCTGGGTGCCTTCCTGGGGGCTTGGCCCGCCCTGTGTGGCCGCTTCAAGCGCTGGCGCAAGCACGGCGTCTTCGTGCTGCTCACCACGGCCACCTCCATTGCCATCTGGGTGGTGTGGATCGTCATGTATACCTACGGCAACAAGCAGCGCAACAGTCCCACCTGGGATGACCCCACGCTGGCCATCGCCCTCGCCGCCAACGCCTGGGCCTTTGTCCTCTTCTATGTCATCCCCGAGGTCTCCCAGGTGACCAAGGCCAGCCCAGAGCAAAGCTACCAGGGGGACATGTACCCGACCCGGGGCGTGGGCTACGAGACCATCCTGAAAGAGCAGAAGGGGCAGAGCATGTTCGTGGAGAACAAGGCCTTTTCCATGGATGAGCCGGCCTCAGGTGGGTCTCGGGAGACACCCCTCGTGTGACCCCAGGTCCTTCCTGCGGGACAGGGAGCTAGTCTCTCAAGCAAAACCAAAGGTTCTTGAGGTTAGCTAAAGTTTTCTGCCTAACTGTCCCTAAATCCCATTTTTTAAAAGATTTTTTCCTATATTCATATAAGTCACACATATATTCTTATTGTGAAATTTTAAACATTACAGATAAGGAAAATTTCCCCCAGCTGCCTCCCCAGTCCTCTCCTGCCTCCCATCCTGTTCATCCCCAAACTGACCACTGCTGCCTGGTATAATGCCTCTGCGTGCCTCAGTTTCCTCATTTGTAAGACAGGGGTAATAACAGTGCCTATGAGGGCTCTTGTGAGGGTCAGTCAGTGCATGTGCCTGGCCCATGAAGAGCACTCTAGAAATGTTAGCTGTTGTGTGCATTACTGTTTTCACTGTTAATATTATCCTTCCAGAACTTGCTTTCCTATTATGTACATATCCAGAATCATCTTAGTTTCCTTTAAAAGGAAATCTTTTTCGGTTAATCTTTTTCTTTTTAATAAAGCACTTGTGGTGCCACATAGTGATCACATTTGTTACCTAAGGACCCCCTAGCATTTATTGAGCACCTACTGTGTGCCAGGCCCCATGCTGAGCCCCTTTCCGGTGTGCCCTGTTGCACGCACCTCACGTGCATTCTCAGCCCGCCGGCTGCAGCCCCTTCATCTGACATGGCTGGAAAGCTGGGGGCACGACCCCACAGCCCCGACCCTGCCACCAGACTCTGCTGATGCAGCTGCTTGGGGGCCTAAGACTTTCTTAGCCACCCAATCATCATGCCCCAGCTCTGGGTCCGCGGCAGGGAGGGCAGAAACGGAAGGAGTGGAGATTCCAGAGTCAGAGACATCCTGTCTCTTCACAAACTGCGGAATCCTCGTAACCCCTGCTCTGGGGAAAGACGTGACCCTTGTCCTGCTGGGCACTGGATCTTTGATCCGACCACCTGGGCTGAACGCTGACCCTACTCCAGGGTGGCCCCAGGCCACAGAGGGTGCGTAGGCGGGACAGGTGCCCCCCACCTGTGTATATCTGTTTGTCAGGGCCAAATAGTTCTCAGGCTTTGTCCTCTCATGGCAAACACTTCTACGGCAGTGAATTTTTACTTCTTTTCTTTTTTTTTTTCTAAATGGAAAAATCAATAGAGCGAGCCCAGCACTTAGGAGCCCCGTATAGGCTGTGGTCCCTCGGAGCTGCGGCCGCCAGCCCTGCAGGAGCCAGACATCCGCCGTGCCGCCCCCGCAGCAAGGCTGCTCCTGGCCCCGGGGCTTGGTCAGCAGTTTTCCTCAGCCACCCTGGGAGTGCCCAGCAGGGTGGAACACACTGGGAAACCAACACCCCAGAGGCACAGAGAAGTATTCCTGGAGCTGAAAATAGTTCTGGACACTTGCCAAGGGGCCACAGCCTGGGCCGTGCCCCAGTGTCCCTGGCGGGCTCTGGGCTGGTGTGTGGGGAAGGCATGAGCTCTGCCCTGTGAGGACGGGACAAGGCTCGGCCGAGGGGTCTCAGTGGTATTTATGGCAGTGCCTGGCAGCTGGCCCGCAGTGGTGGAGGCCAGAGCTGGAGGCTGGCCATCTTGGAAGGCGGCCGAAGGCCCATGTGCCCTCTTGGCCTCTGGCCCCGAGGGCGGATGGAGATGTGAAGGCTGCTGATGGAGCGTTTTTCTGCGCTGTTGGGGGTGGGGGCAGGGATCCCACACTGCAGGGAAACTGAGCCATGTTGTGTGCTCCCATGCATCTGGACAGAGGGGTGCTAGGCTTGGGGTCTCCAGATCCACAACCTCACCCCCAAGCCAGCTACTCCTGGGTTAGATATTACACCGGGGCCGGTGTGGCCCTGTCTTCCCTCTTCCCTGCCCCCAGGAGAGCCCTGCTTGGGTTGTGGGAGGTGGGAATGGAAGCCAAGAGCCCATAGATCCTCACACTGCTCCTGTTTTCCCTTGAAGCTAAGAGGCCGGTGTCGCCATACAGTGGGTACAATGGGCAGCTGCTGACCAGTGTGTACCAGCCCACCGAGATGGCCCTGATGCACAAAGGCCCGGTAAGTGGATCCCGCAGGGCCCTGTGACCCTGCTGGGGGCCACAGCCCAGCCTCAGCGGGCCCAGTGGAGGGGTCCATGGGCCAGTGCAGGGTTGGGATGGAGGTGGTAGGGAGAAGGCAGGCTGCCCCACCTGGTGCATCTACCTGGGGAACCCCAAGCCCCAGTTTTCAGCGCTCTTTTCCTGGACCTGATGTATCCATTGCCTTTAGCTACATTGCCGGGGGGCCTGCCCTGTGTCAGACTGGGGCCCGATGCCGTAGGGAATGCAGGATGAGCTCTCAGTAAGCTGCTGTGAGCTGCCAGCTTTACCCGAAAGAGCTTTGTCAAAGGAGGGTCTCAGCCAGGTGCTCCCACGGTGGGTGGGCCCCAAATGTGGCAGGTCTGGATAGGTATTTACTTGTCAACCACAGCTGTCCCAGGAGGGCCTCCGACTCCCCTCCCCCACCAGCAGGCAGCCAGTCTTGACCTCACACCTCCCCTGGGTTCAGAAACCAGATGCTCCATTAGCCAAGGGGGCGGGGGCGGGTGGGAACAGGAAGAAGGTGGGTTGGATTCTCCCTCACCCCATATATGTTCCTCCTCTCGGCTGGCAGTGGCTGTGGGGAGAGGTCAGTGACCCGTCTTGGCAGGATGCTGGGAACAGGAAGTGAGGAGGTCAGCGGGGTGGCGTTCTCATCCCCTCCCTGGACCTCTCTGTGAGCCTGAACTACTAGCCCCAGCTCCTTCCCTGTCCCTGAGCCTGAACCTGTGGCTGGAGCTGTGATGGGCAGAGGCTGCTGGCCGCCAGCCCTGGGGGAGAGGACGGCCACCAAAGCCTTTCCTCAGTAGCCGCCCTCACTGTTGTTTCCCCTCACTCCCCAGTGCCTGCGGGGTCCCGCTTCCTGGGGGGTGGGGGTGGTCTGTACTAACAGGGATATTTATATTTGATCTGACTGGTCCTCAGATCACCAGCATTAGCGTCACCTGGGAACTTGCTCAAAATGCAGAAATGGGGTGGGACCAGAGGTGGGGTGGAGCCAATGTGAGCATCCCTTCATGCTGTCACCTTGGTAGTTGACATCTGCCACCCCAGGCGTGACTACCCAATGCAGATCTGCAAACACTGCAAGTCAGAGCACCCTCCGGCCGCCCAGTTACCAGCCCCCTGCTGGAGGGGGCGGGGAGTGCTACAAGTGGGCATAACTTAACAAGGGGTCCAGGTGATACTGATGTACACCCAGGGCTAAGGCCACTGGTGTGGATTTTCCGGGGGCCACACGGGAGGAGGGAGTAGGAGGTCGCAAACAGGCGGGAGGACCACCTGGATCTGATTGGATCGAGGGCTGGTTTGGGGCCCTGGAGGTACAGAAGTTTGGTGGCAGCTCTCTCCCGTAGGGATGAGGCAGGTGGGGCCAGGAATTCACCTCCCCTCCAGGTAGGAGCTGGGACGGGTGCCTCAGGACCCTCCCCACCCACAGTCAGTGTCTCTTACCCACATAGCAGAAAGACCAGGTTCCAGGCAGAGAATTTGGATTTTAAGATTCCAAATCAAGCTGGCCAGCCTAGACGCTTAGCCAGAGATATGTGAGCCTGCCCAGGGCCTGACAGCAGGGTGTCCTTGGCCGGAACACCAGCATCTAGATGCTGCTGGGTGTTGTAGTGACCTTTGGTTTACCTGGGGAAAAATTCCGGGAGGAAGGAGCTGGGAGCTTTGCCAGACAGGCAGGACCAGTTGAGTGTGGCTTAAGGTTTGGCCTCCACTGGCCCTAAGGTTTCCCTAAGGAATTGGCAGCAAGAAGGGGCGTGAGAAGAGGACCCTCTCTATAAAGTGCCAGGACCACCTAAGGTGACCAGGGGCTCTGTTCCCATACCCAGAGGCAGGGTAAGATAAGGGCTTGAGGTCAGCCCCCATTTCCAGCAGTGGAGTCGGCCATCCTGGGCTGCTGCTGGGTCCCGGCCAGAGGGGCAGAGGGGCCGTGGAGAGGGAGCTGGCAGGCACACCCCTGCAGGAAGCAGAGTGTTTGTGCATCCGCCCTGGCGGAACCTGGCTCCCGAAGCCCCTGACTGTGAGACCGCCTGTCCTTCCTTCCAGTCCGAAGGAGCTTACGACATCATCCTCCCACGGGCCACAGCCAACAGCCAGGTGATGGGCAGTGCCAACTCGACTCTGCGGGCTGAAGACATGTACTCGGCCCAGAGCCACCAGGCAGCCACACCATCGAAAGACAGCAAGAACTCTCAGGTCTTTAGAAACCCCTACGTGTGGGACTGAGTCAGTGGCAGCCAGGAGACACAGGCGGATCTGGGGAGGGCCCTCAGGACCCGGCCTGGGCAAGGGACTCCCAGGCTCCCCCTCCCCCTTGCTGGCCCCGGGCAGCTTGTCCTCAGAGCCGTGAGGTCCTCCTTCTGCCAATGTCTGGGTGGGTGTCCTGGGTGCCCCCACCCACTACTCAGTGTTTGTGGAGTCTCCGGCTTCATGCCTGGGTCACCTCGGTGGTCATGCTCCGGCCAAACAGTGTTGTTCTTGGGGTGGTGGCCGGTCCGCACCTGCATTTGCTGGAGATTCCTGCAACCTCGGGAGACTTCACGGGCGCTTTGGGCCTGGATCTTGCTCCTCTGTGAGGATCAAGGGTGCCTAATAAACGTGTTTCTGCTTTATTAACTCTTGCTCTGGGATCGTGGTTTCCGAGGACCCTCTCCTCCCCCACGGCCTATAGCCGATGCCTCCTTCTCCTCCCTCCAACTCCAGTTCTCATTTAAAGCTGCTGCGGGACTTTTCTTCTGCGCCACCAAGCAGCCACTGCCCCTACCCAGCAAAGGGTTCCTCAGCGGATCCTCTGTCTGAGCTGCGTGTGGCCAGAACGAACGTCTGGGCTCCGCGGTGCCTGCCAGGCAGTCCCGCATCTGGGCTTGTCTGAAACCAGGCACCTTTCCTCTGGGGCCCCCTCCAGTGGCTGTGGGGACAGAACAGGGAAGGTAGGCCCACGAGCAGACAAATCCATGTGTACAGGAAGATGAACTAATTTCAGCTCCTTTGGGGGGACGGATAGTTAAGGTCCCCTGGGGGATGAGGTGAGAGCCATTCTGCTCCAGGCTACAGATCACGCTGTACAGTGAGGGGAAGGGAAGGGCCCAGAGTTGTTGACAAAGTGGGTTGACAGAGGTGGAAAGGGTCGGCCAGGTCCTGGTTGGTTTCATTCCTGGGTAGTAATTAAAGTGCCCACTGGCTCAGGACCTACGGCAAACAGAAGCCTCTCCTCGTAGGCTCATGTTAAGCCGGAGGAGGGCGGGAGTGGTATTCCCTTCCAGATGCAGAATCCCAGAATCATGCCACGTTAGGGTTAGACAGGGCCTTAGGGGTCATTATCTCCCCCTGCCTTTTCCAGGTAAGCAGGCTGACCCAGAGAGGTCTAGGTGGCCAGGCTAAGACCGGCCAGGTTGTCCCAAGACTTTGACATCCCAGCCTTTCTCCTTGGTCCACCCTGGAATGGCCAGGGCCGGGGGCTGCACTTTGGGCCGTGCGGATGAGACAGCAGTGTCCTGACCCCTGGACACTGGCTCAGGTCTTTGCGAGGGGGCTGCCAAGCCTGCCCTGGGAGCCTGCTCCTTCCAGGCTTGGGAACGTTTCTCCCCAGCTAGTCAGAAGCTATTTTCTGACACCAGTTGTAGTGGGAAAAAAATGTTTTTGTTGAGAGGGAGAGAAGAAAGGTTGCTGGACAAAAATAAAACTTCTCCCAGGCTTCGCCTTCTGTGTTCGGATTGCACCAGCCTCCTGGGGACCAAAACCCTTTCTTTTAGTAAAAGCCAGCACTTGGGCCCCAGGCGGTCCCCTTTGACTCTTGTTCTTTCTGGTTACTTTAGGCTCAGTGCCCGCAAAGTAAAACGAGATGGTAGAAGTCCTCTTCCCTGGACCGCACGTCACCCTGATGTCCTCAGTACTCTGTATCCAGGCTGGGCAGAGCCCAGCACCTCTCCCGTCCTTGTCACTGGAGCTGGGAGGGACTGGAGGCCACCGGCTGAAGCAGTGGACTGAGTGGGGCTCCTGTGAAGCCCTGAGTATGTGGCTGAGGCCTTAGGGCCACCCCCTTCCTGCCCAGCCCACCCTCATGGTCCCCCAGTGGCTGTGGCTGCAAGGAGCGGTCTGCAGACCCTAGCCTGCCTCCATCCCCCCCAGGACCACCCTGCCACCAAATCACAGCCCCTGTGTCCCCATGCCCAGCTCCTCCAGGTGGCCATCATCCCTCCTGGGAATGACAGGCCCCAGATGCCCCTGTCTTGACGCCGTGGACCTTCCTGGCCTCGCCATTTTTTGGTGTCCAGCATCAGCTTGTCCCCTCTGCACCCAGGTGGATCTCCTCCCCTGTGAGTCTTGGGAGCCAAGCCATGGCAGAAATTGGTCCTTGCCCTTCTCTTCAAGGCCTCTTGCCACCACTCGGGCTTTGGAAGGCCGTTGAGACAGGGGCAGAGCCCTGCCTGAGGCCTGGACACACACTCTCTCTCTTCGCAGTCTCTGGGTCCCAGATCTGAGTCCCTGGGGTACTTCGCTGGCGATCCCCTTTGCGCCATCACCCCGAGTCCTCCCCACCTTCCCACCAACCGTCCCACTGACAACCGGGGTTCCAGTCCTGCCTGATCTCTGCTCCCAGCCGCCCTCGCCGTCTGGGACCAGGACGCCTGCACTGTTCCCAGCCAGAGAAGCTATGTTCTTCCTTCAGCACTACCTCACGGACAGCCACGAAGGCGCTGGGGTCAGCGGGCACAGTGGCTCGGCACTGTTTATGTGCCCACAGACGTTCTCCCTGGGCCTTCTCCCTTGTCTGCTTCTGGTCTCCCAGCCGGTGCAGAAGGTGGCTCCTGGGGCAGGGGCAGTCAGCACTGAAGTACCTGCATCGCACAGGCTCTGGGCCAGCAGCAGGGGCTTGCTGTGGCCACCGGCTGTCTCTGGCCAGGGTCTGGGGGTCCCTTAGGAGACACGGAGTGGGGGTCCAGGCTGCATGCTCAGCGCCAGCCGGGAGTCCTACATCGGCTGAACTGGGGTCTAGGCCTCTCCCATGACTGAGACTTGCGGGCTGTGGGAGGCCCCTCAGGCAAGGGGGACCCAGGACTAAGACTGTGCTGTGTCCTGATGGGCAGACGAGCACGTTTCTACCTCATCTTGGGCAGCGGATCTTCTTGGGACACCTGGACGTGCTGCTGCTGCTTTCACCACCGGAGGAGGCTTTTTTGTACTTGGCCTTAGGACCTGCTTCAGAGGGTCCTGACGGTCACCTAGGGAAGGCAGGGGCGGGGGGGGGGAGTGGGGGCTTCTTGGGACCTGCATGATGCTGGCACCAAGGACAGAGATGGGCACAGCTCCAGGCTTGCAGGAAAGTGATCTCTGCAGCATCCTCTTGGCTGGGTTGGTCCTGCCCATGGGTAGCAGACAGAGCTGACTGACCCAAGGGGCCCCCCGTGTGCCCCTGGAGCTCAGTCCTCAGCCCAGCATCACCTCTGGGGGCCGAGGCGGAGGCTGAGGACAAGCAGCTCCCCAGTGCCACCCTCCTGGCCCCAGCAGCCTGCCTTTGTCACTGGAGTGTTTTTCCAAAGCTAAATTGGGTGAGCAGTCCCCGCAAAGTAGGACTGTGCTCCCAAGTGTGACCGCCCCCCACCCTCTATTGCACCGGTTGCTCAATTCCATGAATTATTTCTCCATCGTGGAAGGAAAGGGGAGCTCTGCGCACTTCACTGCTCTTCTCTAGCTTGGCGGCCCCAAGTCCCTTACAGTGAGTAGGACACCATTCCGCTTCTCTAGGTGATAATTTCAGAGTCCCTGGCAGCCCAGGCAGCCAGAGGGTGCAGCCCGCAGTGAACGTGGGTTTGAACCCGAGTCCTCCGGGGGTCTGCAGGGGAGGCTCGGGAGCAATGGGCTCCTAGATGATGCAGGTCTGCCTGGATTCAGGAGTGCCCAGTGGTGTTCCCTGCTCACTCTGGCCGCCGCCAGGCGCAGAAGATCTGTGTGGTGCTAGGAGGAGCGAGGCGCTTTCTCCGCGGTGGCGGAGCTGCACCGCAGCCTTGCACGGAAGGGAACTAGAATGAGCAAGAACCTGGTGCAGGGTCATCTTCATCCGGCCAACGCCTCGGCAAGTTTCCGCCCACCGCCGTCCAACCATGTAGCTCGAAGCAGAGTTTGGACTTCACAACCCCTCCGAATTAAATGACCGTATCCTCCGTTTGTGAGGGATTACTGCCACTGAGTTCCTGTGTGTTCGTGAAGATTTTTTCTGGGGTTTATTAATCTATATCTCCACCATCACCCGTGCCCAAACCCCTTGCCTTCTACGGTAGCAAAGGCTGTTTGACTCCAATTAACCTTATTCTTGGTTGGGGATTTCTCTTAAAGAGGAAAACCAGACTTTTAAAAAACACTGAGCTCTCAAGCAGCTGAGGCTAGAAACCAGTGACCCCCACCGGTGTGCAGGGGTGGGGCCGGGAGGGGGACGACCCTGTAGTAGCCTGCTGCCGCCTGGCGTGGCTGGTGGAGGCAGCCAGGACAGCCCAGTGGGTGGCATACTCAGGACACAGAAAGGCGAGCTGGTCGAAGCCTCCCGAGGAAGACCTGCCAAGCGCCACGCCCAGAAGGATCTCCGGCCCTGAGCGCATCAGCCCCTCAGCTCGCAGTGAGAGCGAGACAGGACCGAGCTTGAGTGACTTGGCCGTGGTGATGTAGCTTGGAAGGATCTGTCAGCCCCAACCCATCCTCACCAAGGCTAACCCTTTCCCTAGCCCCGGAGGACGTGCCAAGGTCAGGCACAGGTGCCGGCGACCAGACTTTGTTTCCTGTCTGCTGACTCCACTCCGGGCTCTCCAGGAAGCTGCAGCCCTGATCGCAGCAGCCACATGAATTATTTAGCATCTGCGCCAGCACGCCGCGCTCTGACCTCATCCTCCTTGAGGGAAGGTTGCTGATCTGCAGAGGCTGGGTGGCAGGTCCCTCTGGGGTACAGCAGACTGAGAGAGGGACACCAGTGCCCTCAGGGGAGGAGGTGGGGCCCTCCAAGCAGGAGACAGCTTTGCAGAGCAGAGAGAGTGTGACTCAGGAATCAGGACCACGGGTTCAGATCCTGGCCATTACAGCTCTACGACCTTGGGCAGCACCCTTGACCTTCCCTCAGTCTCCTGATCTGAAAAATGGGGCTCCCAATACACTGGCCTCATGTTTGGCATTCTGGCCCCTCCAGGTCACCCCCATGAAAGTCATAGCCAAGGCGGAGCATCCAGGCACCAGCCGTCCAGTGCTCCCTGCCCAGCCGAGCTGGGCTCCCGGCCAGATTCCACCGTTCGCCGCCCACCCTCCCAGTCCTGTGTTGTGCCTTAGACACTGGGTCCCCAGAATGGGTGACGTGGCGGGTTGCCGGGTTTGGAGGGGGCTGCTAAGGAGGGAAACAGCCCCGCTGCAGTGCCCCGGCTGGCAGGGGAGAAGGGCTAACAGGGCGCAGGTGGGTCCGCAGGGCGTGCTGGGAGTCCGACAAGCCCAGCTGAAGAGCTGGGGTCTCGGAGCCGAGCTGCTTTCAGACTGTCGCAAAGGCCTCCTGGGCACCCGCTCCTGGGCTGGAGATGGGCAAGACCTGGCCCCCGCTTTTGCCAGGTGAGACCGAGGGCCGAGGTGGGAGTGCTCGTGGTGGGTTCAGCCGGTGTGTGTTGGCATTAAGCAGGCAGCCGCCTTCCGCGAGCTTCCTTCCCCCATCCGCTCCTGTCCGACACGGCACCCTCAGGCCCGGGCCGGGCTCCACTGGCTCTGCGGCCTTGGGCAGGTCCCTGTCCCTCCCTCAGTTTCTTCATCTGTAAAGTGGACCCCACTTTATAAGAGCAAGACCCTGTCTCTACTAAAATTAGAAAAAATTAGGCGGGGAACTAAAAATAGAAACAAAAAATGAGCTGGGTGTGGCGGCGTGCACCTGTAGTCCCAGCTAATTGGGAGGCTGAGGAGGAGGATCGCTTGAGCCCAGGAGTTCGAGACCAGCCTGAGCAAGAGCGAGACTCCATCTCTACTAAAGACAGAAAAATTAGCCAGGCGTCGAGGTGTGTGCCTGTAGTCCCAGCTACTCAGGAGGCTGAGGCAGGAGGATCGCTTGAGTCCAGGAGTTTGAGGTTGCTGTGAGCTAGGCTGACGCCACTGCACTCTAGCCTGGGCAACAGAGTGAGACTCTGTCTGAAAAAAAAATAGTAAATTACATATTTTTAAAAAATTCTTCTGAAAAAAGGAAAAGGGGCCCAGGGTGTAGCAGCGGTTCCCCCAGCAGCCTGCAGCGTCCTGCGTGTCCTTGCCCCAACTTCACAGGAGCCAGGCTGAGCAGCCCGGTCACCCTCTCACACCTCATCTCTCCCTCCAACGACGACCACGCAGCTTTCACCCCGCCTAGGCTTTCCGGTTCCTTCTCCCCTCGGGAGGGTTTCTGAGGAGGCTGAGGGTGGAGGGCTGAGGGTGGAGGGCCTGGGAGGGGGTTGTGTTCATATCATGTTTGTGACATGGGGCCCCCACCCTCCGCCCCAACCTTGCTAAATAATTCTGAGAAGACCGAATTAGATTTACATCGAGGGGACAGATTGGTATGCTGTCACCATTTGCTATTTCTCCGTGTGTAGTTCATCTTTACAAAACATGTGTGTCCACAGGACTTACGATCACAGACGTGGGAATGGCATTTGGTCATTAATTCACTCATTCACCAGCTCTTCATCAACATTTATCAGACTGTTCCCTGCCATTCTCCTAATTGCCATCAGTGCCCACACTGATCGCTCTCCTAGCACCCAAGTCTGTCTGGCACACAATTTTACCTTCTCAGATCTGAGAATCCTATCGCCCCAAGTCACTGCAGCCAGGTGTCTGCAAGGAGGAGCCACAGGTGCAAATTCTACAGCTACTTTATCGTATCTGTAGATGCTGGTTATACTCTTGGGTCTGCAAGGGCAAAGTTGCCCCCATGGCATATATGACTCAATGCACCCGTATGGGGATGAGGCTTGCTTCATGGGGACTCTGTTGGTCACCTGGGAAAGGCTGTGTCCCGGTTGGAAAGTGGAGCCAAGAGGACAGCTTAGGTTGGGATGGGGACCTACTCCTTAGGCATTATCGAGATGGTCAGGAGGGGAGTTTCTGAGTCATTAGAAAGTATGTTCCCGGTGGGGACCAGGGGGTACGGAGCCTGGTATATTCATTTGCTAAGGCTGCCCAACAAAGTACCACAGACTGGGATGGGCACGGTGGCTCATGCCTGCAGTCCCAGCACATTGGGAGGCTGAGGCAGGAGGATCACTTGAGCCCAGGAGTTCGAGACCAGCCTGGGCAATATAGCGGAAAACTTGTCTCTACCAAAAAAAAAAAAAAAATTAGTCGATCAGTGTAGTGGCACCTGTAGCCCCAGCTACTCAGGAGGCTGAGGCAGGAGGACCGCTTCAGCCCAGGAGTTCAAGGCTGCAGTGAGCTATGACCATACAACTGCACTCCAGACTGGATGACAGAGCAACGCTCTGTTTCTCAAGAGAAAAAAAAAGGACCACGGACTGGGTGATTTAAATAATGGAAAATTATCATGTCATAGTTCTGGAGGTTGGAAGTCCAAAATCAAGGTGTCAGCAGGTTGGTTCCTGCCGAGCTCTGTGAGGAAAGGACCTGCTCTAGGCCTCTCTCCTTGGCTTGTGGAGGGCGTCTTCTCCCTGTATCTTCACTTTGTCTTCCCTGTTCGCACCTCTTTCTGTCCAAATTTCTTTTTCATAAGGATGCCCATCGTGTTGGATTAGGGCCCAACATGATGACCGCATTTTTCCTCTGCAATGACCCTATCCCCAAATAAGGTCTCATTCTGGGGCTGTGGGGGTTAGAACTTCAACACGTGAATCTTGGGGCAGGGGCTGGAGGTGGACATAATTCAAGCTGCCACACCGGGCCAGAGTGGTGGAGGAAGTCGTAGGGGCAGTGGGCCCGTGGATCAAGCAAGTACCTGAGGCGGCTGAGGAACGGGCTGGCCCTAGGAAGAGGCTGTCGTTCCATCTCAAACATCCCCGTGCACTTGGTTCCCTCTGGTGACAGGGACATCCCTACGGGTGGCTGTGACCCTCCTGTACCACCATGCTGAGACTTGTCCTCCTCCAGGAGAGCAGATAGGATGTATAAGCGGAGACAGTTATCTATTGTCCTTAAGCCAAGGACACTTCCCAGATAAGGGCTA